TATCATGATTAAATTATATTAAATAAAATTATTTTAAAATAAATTTTAAATAAAAATAAAAAATTATTTTCATTTATTAGTCATATTTTAATTTGATATTTTAAATACTTATTAAATAAAATCACAAAAAAAATGCATTTATAAATAGTTCAGAAAAATCTCATTTTATTTTATATAATCATATATATTATATATTTTTCATAAATTGAATTATATTATAAAGAAATATATTTCACCACATATGCTTATAGGGGTTTATGTAATAATATATTTGTATTGGTTAATATGTATATAAATACATAATTCACTCATTTATTATACAAGATGGTGTAACACTACAAAAATAATTTTATTAAAATATAGTATATTTTAAAATATAAAATAATATTAGTAATATCGTAAATTAAAAAATAACATTAATATATATTAATTTGTTTTCTATAAAATAATGATAAATGATAATATATAATGATAATGTCATTTCATTTTGGTCTTATTCCTTCTGCATACCAACGTCTCAATGACAAAACTTGTTTCATTCATTTCTCATAATCATTTCATTCTTCAACTAATTCCGTTCCTATCAAATTTCATTATATTACTAATCATGTCATAAGATGTCTAAACATTAAGATGGTTTTATGACTCATACTTTGAATGGAAGATAGGCAATGCTAACTTATTTATTTGAAAGGACTCATTCTTTTAAAGAAAAAATTAGATTCTAAACTAAAATAAGAATTTGACTCTTGCTTATTTAGCTCAACTAGAAAATTAAAAATTTTATTGATGAATTCTTTAATTCTTGTAATCCTTAATTAATTCATGATACTTGGCATTATGTGGGGTAAATAATTTTTTCCAACATGTACTATACGTGCTATTGAGATTTTCAACCTAAAGTATTTTTAGTTGTAAAATGCAACTTGGACTATATATACAGTCACTATTTGCACACTCGACCACATCTTGACTATACACATGTCCTTTTTTGCAGATGATCGGACGGTCAAAAAGTATTCGAGCATGCAAATAATTGTATATATGTAGTTTTCATGTTGCATTTTACAACAAAAAATACTTTAGGTTGAATATTCCAAAAGCAAGTATAATACAGGTTGGGAAAAATTATTTACCCCCTTTTATGACATTTAAAACATTTTGAATTTTTCAACCATTCCGTTTAGTTTTGTTGAGATTAAGATTTTGATTGTAAATATATTCACCAAGTCTTCCCTAAACATAACTCTAATTAAAAATGTAATTTTCACAACTAATAAATTTATTATTATTATTATTATTATTATTATTATTATTATTATTATTATTATTATTATTATTATTATTATTATTATTATTATTATTATTATTATTATTATTATTATTATGTATCTAAGATTTTAGAGATGCTTAACATTTTAGTAATTAAACGATAAGTATTTCCTATAAAGTGTAAAAAAATTGTTGGAATTGACCAAACACCCTCATCTTGATGAAGGTTAATTTTGAATTAACTATCAAAATATATGTTGTTCAGGCATATTGATAGGGTAAATTGTGTCAAACCAACCTGTATTATACGAAATCTGCGCGTTATCCCCCTGTATTTTAAAAATTGTGCTATATCCCCTTGTATTATACTTTTGATTGCGCGTTATCCCCTAAACCGTCTAACTTGACAGATGTGCATTTCACGCGCGTGTGGTACGGCTGTTTTTTCATTTTTTCGCCATAAACTCAGGAAAATGACTATTTTGTCCCTTAAAAATTAAAATAATTACAAAATAGATTATCAGGCATGTGGAGATGGTGTCGTGCGGGATTAACGCCTTAACTGTCGTTAGGCCCCTCTTGCCACATGCCCAGTTTCAATTGCACACACACATATTTTTTTTTTTATATTTTTTTTATATAAATACGAATTCAATTGCACACACACACACACACACATATACACACACACACACATACATAATACAACAAGTCTTCATAACTATTTTTATTCTTATTTTTAAATTTCTAAATGAATAATTTTAATTTGTATTTTTAAATTCATATTTTTAAATTTCTAATAAATAATTTAATTTTATTATTCTTATTTTATGTTCTATTAAATAAAAAATGCTAAAATTAGAATTCGTCATAATTATTTATAATGAGTCATTTTTTAGTTAAGAATAATAGAATTTTTTATTTATGTTCTACAATTTAAAATATAATTATTCAGCTAATATTTTAGTACATGATTTTAATCATAAATAAATAATATTAATTTTTATATTTTATTTAGTAAAATTTATTTTAATTTATTTCATTGTCTTAAGTTAAACAAAATAAATATAGTTATAAACTATGAAATAAAAAGAATAATGCAACAAAATTATTTGGAGTAATACAAATTAAAATAAATAATAAATATAAATGTATATGAAAGTATTTAAAACAAATACAATAAATATTATTATTTTAACTGTAATTTTTCAGATTTATTTATATTTTATTTTAATTATTTTCTTTTGTTTAATATAGTAAGTTGTTTAAATTAATTTTTTTTTGTTTTATTTTATATAATTTAATTTTTTTGTATTCTAATTTATCTTAAGTTTTTTATGTTTTTATAATTTAATTTAATATAATTTACATTATTTTTCAATTTTAATTTTATTTATCCATATGCAATGTTAATATGTATTAATCGTTAACACATTTAACACATAAGCATGAGTGATACAGTGGTTGTATGCATGCTCTTCCCTCAAGGAGGCCCTAGGTTCGAATCCTAGAGGCAACAACATTTTTTTTATTCAATTTCTCGCGATATATTGAATATATCATGATAAATTCACTTTATCAGAAAATATATATATATATAATATTCGGAGGGCATAACGAGAATTTTATAAAAATATTAACGCCGTTAACAGGAAAACAGTAAAAGGGGAGCGTGTGCATGCAAACCTTAATACAAGGGGAAAACGCGCAAATTTAGTATAATACAGGGGGTTGGTGTAATAAACCCCATATTGATAGCATCAAGAACTCTGTCTTATTGTTGAGTCGTTGACTAATAAGGTAAATCTTCACCAACCTTTCCACAGACCGAAATACCAACTATAATAAATTTTTCTACGACTTCTTGCATATGACTTTGTGTTTTTTAAGCATTTGTGCATAGAGTCATTTATTGCAGAACACTGAGGGCATGTTTGTTTACTAATTTACAATAAAAAAAAAAAAAGAAAAGAAAAAATCTCTACTGAAAATCTAACTCAAATTTAATTCAATTCTGTACCTCAATATTATTAATATAATTAAATAATATCAATCAATCATCTTTATACATCACATAATTTTAATTCAAAGAAATTCTATGAAGCCATCGGACGACTCCTTTATAGCGCCATCCGATGGCTCCATAGCAAAATCGATATAATTCACTATTTATTCACTCACATAATTTTAACTATATATCATCTCATAATCTCTCTTATGCTTTTACTTCAAGTCAGTTTTAATCATTTTATTTTAAATACTATTTTAATATACCACTAAAAACTAACCAAATAATTTTTATTTTTTAAAAAATTGACCATAGTTAACAAAAAAAAAAAATAATAATAATAATAAATTGATTTATTTGTATACAAACAAT